AGGATCACCGGAGCCCAGTGGGTTGACACTGGGGTGGCCGTGAGCCTGCATGCCTCTGCACTCCAACCTGGGTGACGGAGTGAGACTCCAATTAAAAAAAGAAAGAGAGAGAGAGAGAGAGAGAGAGAGAGAGTGATTATAGGTTTGTAGCCACTGACTCAGGGGTTGTGAGGAGTCAATGTAAAACCTAAAACACATACATGAGTGCGTGACATGCCAAAAGCATTCCAAATGCACAGGACAGGTGTTGGGTCCGCAGGCATCATTATTAAATGAAGGTAGTCTCTGCATATGAATACAATTCGACATTTTTAAAGTATGTCAAGAATTTAGATGTTTCCAGTGATTTGATATTTGCCAATCTAAGAAGATGGCGCCAGTCACATGTAGGCCATAGACTTTCCTACTGGTTAAGGACACATTATTTTTGGCCCATCTCTCATAATTGTTCCCAAATCCACATCTATTTCATAAAGTAAGGATACTTTACACACATTAAGTTTGGAGATTTAAAACTTTTGGAATAGGGAAACACATAAACAATCTTCCTGCAGTGTTAGCCTCCCTTCTAGAAATAGAAGAACCATAGGCATCTCAGAAGAAAGTGGTTCTTTTTTTTCCTGCTGTCTAATGTCCTTTTCCTGCTTTTGAGTATTTACAGTTAAGTGGGAGATAAAATAGACTAACAATTTCACCTAACATATCTATCATTCAAACCAAAAGATAAGAGGGAATTTGGAAAAGCCCACCCTAACTCCCATAGCTCCCTAAAGTAAGAGAGTAGTTGTCCTGTGGGAAGCATCACAAAACCTGGCATTGGCCTTGATGAGCCTAATGCCACCGCTGGTGTAGACAGCGCCACAGCAATCTGTCTTGAAACCCAGCAGAAATAGCAAAGTGTGATGTGATGTGATGCGTGTAGTGGGTCACTTCTGGAAACGTGTGCTTGTAACATAACCATTTAAACATCAACAAACTCAGGAGGTCTAGGACGGAACAGAATATAATGCACGAATGCAGGTTCATTAAACTAGTGCATTTTTTGAAAAACAAAATATGACAGAACATTTCATTATGGGTGCAGATATGAGAAAAAGTGTTATGCTGCTATTTAGAATGTGTCTTGTGTGTCGCAGAATTGAAATATTTCCAAATCATCAATAATTAAAATGATGAGAATCCATCATTTCACTGACATTTACTTCTACATGAAAAGATGGCCTATTTTAAATGTGCTCACACATATTCTTGTCAATCACCAACTGTCACAGCAAATTATTTCATTTTGTAGATCACATGGCAGTTCGCAGAAAACCTCCAGGTTTAAATTTAGATCTTAGGTGTAGCATCAAGAACTCCTTTCACAGACTTTTTTTTTCTGTGACTACATCTTTACAATACAATATACAAAAGATGTCAAATCTATTCATAATACTAAGTTTCACTTCTGGTTAACAAAAATCAGGACTGAAATGAATCACCATAAATGATAACTCTGAAAGCCAATAGTTGAATAGGATATATAGGAAAAGGTGGAGATGTAAAACTAAAAAATTCTAAAGACAATCAGAGCTCCATACATAATGAATTAGGTCTAAACAGTTTCTCCTACTCCCCGCCCCAACTCATCTTCTTAAAGATACTTAAGCAATCATGGGGCACACAATATTTCTCTTGGGCTGTTTGTTTGCATTGCTGAAATCCTAGCAGTCATAAAGGAGCTGAACTCTTGTAAACCCCATGGATCTGATCCAAGAATTTTCACTGTGCCACAATTAAGCAGAAGATTTGGGATACTGTGAATAAAAGCTAAACCACATGGCCATGAATCAGAAGACTCAGGACGCCTTTTCTAACAATTCATTAACTACATCTTCACAATTCCAGTAGAATGGCTAACAAATGTCAGGATCTTTAAACGCCAGAAGCACAATACCTAATGAGACATCTTCACCAACAGTCTTTACGTAAAGCATGTCTATTTTCCTAATCTTTTGCATACACAATCAATCTTCCTGATTAGGCATTCAACATTAAAATATAAGAATAATTCTAATATTGCATTTCAACAGGGAAGGCGTCATGTCAGTCTTGACCTTGGCCTGACCTCTATATGAAAGCTTTGTGTTTTGAGGTATGTGATGAATAGCTCTCCGGCTTCCTATTAAATCTAGTGCCACTGGTTGTCAACAGTGATGCTCAAAAGGGACAGTGAGATAGTTAAAATATCAGAGATGTTCTGTAGGATTTTTTTCTGTCTTAGTAAATCTGGAAATACCTCCTAGGCAATTTGCTCTATCAATATGTCTTTTCCAACTAATAAAGAATCAATGAAGTATAGAAATATAATTGCCAAAATATACATTGACTTGTGTGGCCTTCTTGTGCCAAAAATAAAATCTATTTTTCCCTTGGAAACCCACTTGATTTACATTGTTGAATAGTGTTCCCAGTTCAAAGGACTTAAAACTAACTTATCCTGCATAAGCTCCTTAAAGCCCAGGACTTCTATCTCTGTGCCAGGGCCAGACACATAGTAGATAATAAATACTTATTGGTTTAAATTTTGATTGAATTGTATTACACTGAGTTTAAGTCAGAAATGAAAGATTAATGATAAAAAAGAATCAGACTACAAACCCCTTCTTTCATCTTTTTCTGATCTGGTCTAATATCTGGCACATAGTAGGCACTCAATAAATGTTTGTTAAATGAATGAAAGCCAGGAAATTAATATAACAACCAGTTACCGACTCTAATGCTTTCTGGCTAATTGCATATAAAATATTCACGCTCAGTTGGAAAGACACATCAAGAACACCCAGTTCTGAAACTGTTTTCCCTGATTTACCTCTAGCATGTTCAGTTTTCCCACTTCCGAGAAGGGCTCCTTGCTCTAAACACATCTACCACCTTCAAAGTAATTCATACAAGTTTTCATATTTTTATGTGATACTTTTGACCCGTCAGCAAATTATTGATTGATCTATAAAACACATACTAGAAAGGTAATCTTTAACCCGATTTAGATGGTTTGAAAAAGTGTATGTGTGTGAAGAGGTGAGTGAATGTGTGATCTATGTATTGCTCACACCAAGTTAAATGCTATCTTTCATACATAAATGCATATATACTCACATGAATGTTTTTAATATTCTGAAAGAAACCAGGCATCAGGGTTTAAATGCATCTATAAGTTTAACTTGGATCATACTTATCTGAAGTCTTTTCTATGGACATGTGATATGTCTGTGTCCAAGCTTACCTACAATTTCTTTTCTCAAAAGACAAGGCACATCTGCCACCTGCTCTACTCCGTGTCCCAGCAACAACTGTCGAGCAGCATAAAGATTGATTATCAGTCAAAAACCATTGCACAACACCAGATTTTGGTGGGTTAAGCTTGCTGATCCAGCAAGAGATGGTGTGAAATTTGCAGGAGTGCGTGCCAACATTTTGGTGCTAAAAGAACAGCAGTGCATGTCACAGTGAAACACAGCCAAAGAGATGCAGACAAAGCAGAGAAGTTTTTTGTTCTGGACTTGGCATCTTAAAAGGATGAAAAAGAAAACAAAAGGTGGGAGGAAATTAGTCTGTACATTTAAAAACCATCCACCAAGCTTAGTCATGTGTGTGACGTTGTTTTGGCATACATGTCCAGATTTTCTTCTTAGCTTAGCTATAAATAATTTATATATATATCCACATATATATATATATATATATATATATATCTTCTACAATACCATTTTTCATATGAAAGGCAAGCATTTCCTATTGAAAACAATAACCAAGGGCTTAATAAAGCAACCATTAAATAATTATCTGAACTTTAAAAAGTCACAGAAACATATTTGCCCACTAGGATTCATGTTTTTAATATAAGCAAATGATTCCATGAATACAAAATAAGAGCAGCCATATTTCAAAGTGAAAGCAAAATGTGAAAAATGCATGGATCTAACACTATCACATAGGTAGTATTTAATGCGTATCAGAGCAACAAGTTTCTTTACAGGAACCAAATGATCTTGAATTTTCTGTTGAATTCAAGAAATTCCTTATTTCCCAATGATCAAGTATTAGCATAGAGACAGAAATCCTAGGATAATTCTACACAATGACATTAATAGAAGAGAGATTCCCATCACCTCGTCTGTAATAAACTCCAGAATTACTTTTCTTCTACTTATACAATTACTGCCTAGACTTGCCTTTGCTCTATAGCAGTTGCAAAAAAATTGCTTCTAATAAGATATAAAAAGCATAAGGAAAAACAGCAGACATGTTGAATTTTTATGGTGAAGTCCTTGTTCTTTATGTAATTTAAATCTAATTACCATACATAGCACTTGATAACGAACTCGGGGTAGAACATGTCTAGAAAAAACATAGTCACACTTTTATTTCTCTCTTAAAATGTATTCTTCCCACTAAAGAAAAATTTTTTTTTAATTTAAGAAAAAATTCTCCACATTTCCAAAATATTGAAAACAATGAACTTTTTTAAAAAAAACCTTACTTGAAAATATGTCTAAGATCATATTATATATTTTTAAAAATCAAGCTACAGAATGTATTATGAGAAATGGTATTAAGAGAATCACATGTTTATAAGAATTCTGTGTTCATTACTGGCCATATTTTCATAATTATGTTAACACCATCTGAAAAAAGACCAAGGGTGTAAATGAATAAATGATACTTGAAACTCTGCACTATTTTCTGAGAGAATAAGTCTAGGAAATTATATCTGTTGAGTGTCACAGAAACGAACAGTAAATTCAATAATCTCTGATTTAATTTATTATTTTTTCACCATTTAACCTCCTGCAGGCTCCCTAATGTCTATTCAGATCTATATTAAATTAAGCACCAGTGCTAATGAAGGGCAATAAACGTGGCTGTCAGTGGATTTTTCTTTCATTAAGCACATTATCCTCTTACTGAGCTGTAAATGCGTAAACATTAGTTTTGCTAAACCATGCAAAAAAGACAGGATGAAAATCATTTTTTAATTACACCCCTTAAGCAATTTACTATGTGTGGGGGTAAGGGTATTTTTTTTTCTTTTTTACCTTTCGTTTTGTGAATGGATCTAAAAAGGGTTCTCCCGTTGAAACATAAACGTCAGATTTATGGGGTAGATCTTCAGGTTCGAGGACTTCCTTGCCGTCTGCCAAGAACACGCGTCTTGTGGCCACGTTCAGACAGCTTTTCTATGCACTGCTCCAGCAGCTAGAAGAAAGCAAGAGGTAAGACCAAGTGATTTACACAAAGAAAGTCGCACATTTCCCTCAAAACAAAAGCTTCTAATGATCAGAATAGAAGCCCAGTTGAGTCACTGGCCAAATCCAGTAACTCAAACAATGTAGTTATTTACTAGCAGTTGAAAATATGAAAAAAAAAAGGTAAATCACAGTATGTACAATATCTAATTATTGTCTCACTTAAATCCTTAAGTGATCTGTCATTTTAATAACGCTGCAAGATATAATGTCATTGCATCTGTTTAATTAAATACATTATACACTGATTTTTTTTAAGTAAATGAGTGAAATGTCTGTGAGATCTGTGTCTAAGATAAACAATTTATAGATTCAGATTCCTAAAAAGAAAATGAGAACTCAATAAATGTCATCTTTCTCATATTCTTATATTATACAGAAAGTAAGGGGAAAAGTAAAGCCTGAAAAGTTTGGAACAGTAGTTACCAGTGTGATGGTTGGTGCAATAACTTTAGCAAAGACTTTTCTGGATCCATTTTTATAAGCTATTACTTTAATCACTCTTGCTTGAAGTTTGTGTCTTTGATACAATCTATGCCAGTTCTGGACCAACTGAAATTTTAAAGAAGAGAACTCTACAACCCTGAAGAAAGAAAACACAAAATTGATGCATGTTAATTAGTAAAAACTTTTAAATAAATATTATCCTGGATTTTTTTTAACATACACGTTCTAAAGATTACTCATAATATTCCCAAGAAAACTTTTTGTAGAATAGATTTTTCACTATCTAAATATTCCAAAAACATTTAAAACAGAATAAGTTTGTCAAAACTGCTCATGTAAAACAAATATATCAGAATAAATCATTTTTATCATCTTATAAAACATCATAACACTCACTTTTAAAGAGCATATATACCATATATAGCTTAAAAAGTACATATCTCTATATTTATAAATCTATATCTGTTATGTTCTGATAAAAAATAGTAATATGGACTTAATTTCATAAATCAGTAAATGGCTAAGATTTTTCCCAAGTTTTCATGTTTATCAAAGTTCTTTGATTTTTTTTTAGAAGAGATTAGAAATTCAAATAGAGTTGAATTTAAAATTTTGATTCCAGAGTTATTGTATTGCCTTCATGTAAAGTTCCTTGGAGTTAGGGAAGAGTTAAAATTTATACGTTTTTTTTCTTCAGACAAAACTAGCTTTAATCTTTATTTTCTTGGCAAAAGTACATGGTGCTTTTTGAATTTTATATATCAAACTTATATATCAAATTTTTGACTTCAAAATTTTCTAATTAACTATGGTAATTTGTAATACTACAGAACCAAACATTTGAAAAATTAAAAGTTCAGCTAAATTAAGATCACAACATAGCCACTTATTCAAACATCTGAAAATAACGGGGACATTAGTTTCTTGGCTTAATTTTGATTTTCACCAACATTTTCTTCTGTCCATAGACTCTTACTACACCTGATCTTAGCCAAAAGGCCAAGAAATGATGCCCATAAACTCTTAACAGTTTATAATAACAATCTTGATTTGAAAACATATTTGTAAAATGATTTTATAAATTCATTTCAATTAGATTCCATTTCAAACTACTGGTGAAATATCAAAAGAACATATTTCTGTTTTTAAATAAGTATTCTGTAAGCAAAGATATTTCATGATCCTGCCTGATTCTGCTTCAAATATTCTTTTCAGAGTTTCAGATTATCGAGGTTGAAAAGTATCTCATATTTTCCACAGTGTAATTAGCAACATTCTTCTCCAGTGCTTTCAAAGAAAAAACAATAACAGAAACAAAACCCTAGAGATGTGTTATATTTTAATGTCTGAAATAGCCAAGTGAATCATTATAAATTCTGCTTAAAGGAAGGAACTTCAACACTTGGTTAAAAAGAACAGAGAACAGCTTTGATTACCTCAGTTGACCCACCAGAGCACTGACAGGTCTGTTTCTCTTGGATGCTGATATAAACCAAGAATTGTTTTTGCTGTTTGATTTGTAGTCATCTAGGTCTGATATTTCATCGTGGCTGTGATCTGTTGCTGTTTGATGTGTGGAGCAATCTTGAAGTCCTGACCCTTCCGATACCGCTGCTGAATGCAAAAGTTTGCTGGGGCCAATCTGAGGCTGCAAATAATCGTCAGTAGTTTGAATAACTGCTTTTGCCTGGGATGACATGAACTCCCTGAAAGAAACAACGCATGGAATAATACAGTTAATTGACTTAGAATCACTAATTAACAAATATCACACAATAACTAGTTGTGGGCTGTGTGGTGCACAAAATACCACACACTTAGCCACTCTTGTGTTAAATACTTACAATAACCCTGGTAAGTGGCTATTCTTTTTATCCCCATTTTACAGATTTAAAAAATTGAGCTCAGTGAGGTAATTAAGTTGCCCAATGTCACATAATCAATAAGCGACAGGGTGGGAATTTGAACTCAAGCCTGTCCTGAAATAAAACTCATATTTATAACCATGAAGTTTCATTTTTCTGCTTCATTAAACCAAAGGAGAGCTTAAGTAATGCTTCAAACAATACAAGTATAATTTACAAAGTCTTACATTCATTGGATTTCCTAATACTAGCTCTCTTCTAAGTATTAGGAAACAAAAAAGTTAAAGAGAAACTTAAAAGCTATTCTCCAGTAGAGTATACATGTTAAATAAACTGCCTGGGACTGTGTGTGTATTAACTTTAAATGCAAAAAGAATTCACTGAAGGTCATCTTAGAATGGGTGGAAATAAAGGTGATAAAGCCTTCACAGCAGACCTGGGATTAGGGTGACTAACTCATCTTGCCTTGTTCAGGACTGTCCTGGTTTCAACACTGAAAGTCACACATCCCAGAAATTCCCTGTCTCAGACAAACTTGGACAGCTGGTCACCCTACCTGGTGTTTAGGCTTGATGAGCTATGATGTGTGACTGGGGGGAACCCTATGACTTTGGTATGTTAAGTACCAAGAAAGGAAGATGGAATAGGTATAGAGTCTCCCTGTACAATAAAATAAAACATGATGCAGTCGTAAATATTGAGATGTGTGATGATTGCTGTATTGCTGTAACTGGAATACAAATCTGACTCTTTCCAATTTGCTAGTTCCTCTGCAGTTTTATACGTAATCTAACTCCCTCCACACCCACCCCCCAATCACGAGTTCCATGAGTTAACATGCACTCAGTGTGAAAGCTCGGCAGACACAGCCCCATCCTCCACATCTTTTGCGTCCACGAACACATTTGTAATCACAAGGATCTCTTCTGGCCTGCCCTCCTTATGCACACAAATGTGTAAAATGGACAATTCTTTCCTCTGAAAGAATGAAAGGTAGTTGCCTGTCCCAGGGAAAAAATGAATGTGCGTGTGCGTGTTGACACAGGGGGTCCATGGGAGCTAAGGCTCTGGGAACCAAGCAGTTGGATCACGTGTTTCTATTCAAGTCTACCCTGGACTGGAGACAGCTCTGGGAGAGGAGTGGCCGTCCCTCACTCTAAGGATCCAGCTAGGTTCAAAACTGGGGTAGACGGCGTCTTGAGAGAATCTTTGGACTCCATCTCTGGCAAAGGTGGGGCCTCCCTTCGGGTCACCTCCACTACTCAGATTCTGATGGCAGTGGTAACGGTGGGCGGTGGCCCGTGGTAGCCATCGTGTCACACTGGCAGTGTTTCTGCAGCAACAGCAATGGAGCAATGTGGGGGAAGACCAGTAAACAGCCAGAGGAAAGAGTCACAGGTCTCATAAACACTTCCCAGGTTCCAATAAAGTCATTTGAAAAGCAGATTCTCATGGAAAAAACTGGAGTTCTCTACTTAAAAGCAAAATGCAGCATCTTTGTAATGATCCATTTTGTTTACCGTCTAACATCTTTATAAGTATACTAATGATTTTAATGCAATAATCCATTATTCTATCACTACTAGGTAAAAGGTTTTTATTTTTTTTATATTCCAAAGTGTGAATCATGTTATATCATCAGTTCTATACTTTGCCTTCTGACTTAACACTGCTTTATAACCATTACTCACGTTGCTATATGGTCTCTGTAGATCTTCCTGGGATGCAATATTTTATCAACTATATTTTGCTTTCCCCTGCCTAGTCATGTAGGGGTTGTCTGTTGTGTTTGTCTGCCTGGCACATCTTCTCCATCTTCTAAAATCAGTACTCACATCTTTTGGGAATGCAAGCCCTTCCCAACTCCACATGGCCCTGTGAGGTTTGCCTGGTGAATGGCAAAAAGATCTAAAATGTATGGCTTGGCTATGTATATATTTATTATCTGCTTTTCTCTTGCAATTGGTAAAGTATCTTTTCTCATGTAAAAAGTCATTATAAGCCCATTTGCTATAGTCCTTAGCTTTCACTTGTTTTACCAATGTTGACGACAGGTTTGCAGTTGTTCTCACACACTCTCCCACTCTTCCTTTTTATAACAACTGATGTGTGTTTCCTAGTTGACTTGTGTGTGGATGACCACATACCCTGGCAAAGCCAACTTGTCCCATGTGGGAATCAAACCCACCCCCTTGTTTGCTAAGTTGATGCTGGAACTGAGAGTGTTGAGGTCATTCAGCTTTCAAGGAACAGAGATGCGCGTGGGTTTGAGGTGACAAGGTGTATCCCCAGGACACAGAGAAAGTTTAGAAGGTAAATAAAACCACTCCAGCATGGCACAGAGGGAAGCTGGAAGCCCTTCATGGCTGTCGGGGACAAGTTAGTGACAACTCGAGTGGCTGCCATGGTGTTGACACGGCACTTGCTGCCTCTGTGTCTGCTTGCCTCCTCTTTCTCCATGGTGACTGCCTGACTGCGTCTGTCCTCATTCCTCATGGCTTCTGCCAACTTCCTCCATGACTCCCCGTTTCTACACTGATCACTAGCTTTTAGTCTCTTACAGTCAAATCCCTTAAACAGTTTCATTCCATCACTATCCAGTATAGGACACCACTACTGGGTAGAACTCTCAGGCCAGGCACCCTCATGCCACGGAATCCTATGTATGGGAAAGCGCCCATCAGTGGCTCCGCAATGGATGGACAGCAGGGCGAGGCATAGGGTAGGAAGGATAACGAACACTCTCAGAAGCTTACCAAACAAGGAAAACACGATTGGCAGGGAACTTGCCTGGCCTCACTGAAATACTAAGATTAGCACAGACACGATATGTGGATTAAAGTGAAAAGGTATCAGTAAAATACATCATATGATTTACATTTTTACCAGAAGTGTTTACATTTAACAACTACTGAAATGTTGCTCTGATTCTTCTGATTATTTTAATATTAGTCTTTCATTTCTAATCACAGAGGAACATAGAATATAATACTATGACCATAATTCTGCAACAACGGACCCAGTCCCCAGACCAGCTGGCTCAATGGTTTGTGGTCAACGTCAACCCAAAGGAATGTGGGTCAAAAGGTAGGAGTGTGCCCCTTGACAGTCCTGCAGGTGCTAGTCTCAAGGACGAGGAGCTTAACCCAGACAACTGCCAGCATGAGAAGCTGATCATCATAATACAGGGTGGTATTGGCCCCCTCAGTTTCCTCTCCATTTGTTTCTGAAAGCCCCCAAAGTGGTGCCTTTTTTTTTTTTTTTTTTTGAGTTGGAGTTTCACTCTGTCACCCAGGCTGGAATGCAGTGGCACACTCCGGCCACCCCAGTGTCAACCTGCTGGGCTCCAGCAATTCTTCCGCCTCAGCCTTCCAAGTAGCTGGAACTACAGGCATGCACTATCACGCCCTGCTAATTTTTGATTTACTGTAGAGATGAGGCCTCTCCAAGTTGCCCGGACTGGCCTTGAACCCACAGGCTCAGGCAGTCCACTCACCTCGGCCTCCCCAAAGTACTGGGATTACAGGCTGAGCCACTGAGCCTGGCCAATGGTGCATTTTAAATGTCTAAAAGACCTCCGAAGTCCCTATGAAAATCTGTGGGTGGAGTCACAGCTGTGGCCATGCTCTTCTGCTCACCCCCTTGACGCTGCTACTACCCATCACCAGAACCAAGAGCCCATGCCAGGGTGATGCCTGAGTACTCCTGAAGATTCTCATGCTTGGAATGCCAGAACAGTTCCGGGAGGGGTGGTGAGAAGAGATGCTTCTCCAGTCCTGTCCCATCCTAAGTCCCCTAACTCTGAAGCAGCCCAAGTTGTGAGTAGAGTGCCAAGGAGTCTTTCTAGATCGGTTCCATCAGCTTTTGGCTCCTACCTGCCCAATTATAGGGTCTCATATCCGGTCCATAAGGCCAGATAAGGTAAAGATGGTGTATCGTGCTCCTCTCTCTCCAATTTTTTATTTTTTGAGTTGGAGTCTTACTCCATCACCAAGGCTGGAGTGTAGTGGCATGATCATGGCTCATGGAAGCCTCAACCTCCTGGGCTCAAGTGATCCTTCTGCCTTAGCCTTCTGACTAGCCAGGACTATTATAGGTGTACACCACTACACCCTGCCATTTTTTTTTCTTTTTTGCAAAAACAATGTCTTGCTATGTTGCTCAGGCTGGTCTCGAACTCCTGGGTTTGAGCAATCCTTCCACCTCGGCCTCCCAAAGAGCTGGGATTATAGGTGTGAACCACCATGCCTGGTTCCTCCATATTAATATTAATAGTAATAATACTAATCGCTAATGCCTGCATAGCACTTTTTTTTTTTTTTTGAGTTGGAGTTTCACTCCATCGCCCAGACTGGAGTGCAGTGGCCACTCCAGGCCACTGCAGCCTCGACCCACTGGGCTCTGGCAATCTTTCCACCTCAACCTTCCGAGTAGCCGGAATTACAGGCGCGCGCTACCACGCCTGGCTGATTTTTTGATTTATTGTAGAGATGAGGTCTCGCTGCCCAGGTGGGTCTTGAACCCGCGGGCTCAGGCAATCCACTCACCTCAGCCTTCCAAAGGCGCGGGATTACAGGCTGAGCCACCGAGCCCGGCCTGCATAGCACTTTTACTTACTTACTTACTTACTTACTTATTTGTTTATTTGAGATGGAGTCTCACTCCGTCACCCAGGCTGGAGTGCAGTGGCACACTCACAGCCACCCCAGCGTTGCCCTGCTGGACTCTGGCGATCCTTCTGCCTCAGCCTTTCAAGTAGCCAGAACTATAGGCACACCCACCACAACCAGCTATTTTTTTTTTTTATTTATTGTGGAGACAAGGTCTCACCAAGACAAGGT